CGCGCACGCACACGCACACGCACACGCACACGCACACGCACACGCACACGCACACGCACACGCACACGCACACGCACACGCACACGCACACGCACACGCACACGCACACGCACACGCACACGCACACACACACACACACACACACTCACACACACACACACACATACACACACACACACACACTCAATTGTGATTTCTTACAGCTGTATTATTCTCTAAATAGCTATACTTTCAGTTGTAAACTATTCTATGAACTAAGTCTAAATCGAAAAAGAATTACCAGCGATATATTCGTTTACAAAATATATATAAAAAAAGGTATTATGAACCGACACAGAAATGTTTGTTTATAGAAAAATACATTTTATAAGAAAGTGCTAACAAGTTCCGATTTGGTCGACAATACCACTACTTTCTGTGCCATTGAAGAAGAAGAAATTGTTGTGAGGTGCATCTTTCCCAGAGACTGCCTGCCAAACAATAAAACAATTATATTAAAATATGCTTGATTTAGCACTATATATTGATATGATGTGTTACACAATGGATTTTACAAACATTCGATTTACCAAATTCATAATGGTAACATACCTTTATAACTTCTTGACCAACTATGCCACCAACAACAGCGCACACTGGACCGAGTTCACCAGCACAGACACTGAAAAACGAGCAACATTAAAGTCACTGATAAACCACAGGGGCATTATGAACACAGCAAGTTGTATTGTCAAAGTCTTGTGTATATTTTTTTATTCCATGTACAACTTCATACTTAAGGTGGTACATATCGCTGATTAATATATTATAATACATAGCCTATAACCCACAGTGGAATTTATTGCCTTTAATGATGTTGAGCAATAACAAATATTTTATTTGGGTCGAATGTTACGTTTTCAGTGAAGATAGTAATGTATGTATGATAATCACAACTGTTAGGAAAAAGGTAATATATTGATCTTGTATGCTTATTAAAGGTGGCAATAAAACTCGCGATTTGAAACAAAATTCACTTTATAAGATCGTAGCATACTTTGGACATACAACCTTTTCAAACAGAGATTCAAAAGATAATTTGCTTAAAATGGTTTCCAGCTAATACTAAATTTCAGTATGTCATAAACACCTCAGATATACCCTTCAATATTTCAATATTGCATGATGTATCAATCTTACAAATTACGCTCAATACCTTGAAACACATTAACTTTGAATAGCTGGAGATACAGCAATTACTCTCGTTGCCTCAACCTCGAGTGCAAACTTGCATTTTATTGGCCAAAGTGTTAATACAGATTTCAAATCCCAATGGAAATCACTGGGCGCTGACAACAAATCTCAATAACTTTAAATCAAAACACTTTGATTATATTGCATTCTAGAGCAGCTGAATCTAAAGATTTTAGCAAAGTGATAAAGTCAGATTCAACAATGCTATTGTATTGCTAGGTAACCCCCCAAACCTATACAAATCAGGTTCTAGAAGAATGGTAAGTTCCACCGATCATTCAGACTGACAAGGATACTGTGTGATTTGATCAAATGCAGCACACATGACTGCTTTACATCTCCCCTGGCTGGATGTTATTATCTCTATTAGGAATACCGCAAGCCTCCCAAGTGGGCAAGCAGAATGTATTATTTTTTTTATTTTTTGTTGCTACTGCTGAGTGGGCAGCTAACCACCACAATTTGTAATTTCTCTGATGCTACAACCAAGATGCCACATCAGGTCATCATTTAACAGATTATAAATAATGTATTCAATTTCCATAACATTACACAATTGAAATTCATTTTTCACACATTACGAGAGCAATTGCCAAGATATGACTGTGACAGACATCATAAATCTTTATTCCTCAGACAAGAGGAACAAGAGTGGAAATATCAGAGAGATTCTGTTTGGATTGGGCCACCTGGGAGGGTTATTGCATATACAGAGCAGAAGAAACTGAACTGTTAGAAGGCAATGTTTGACTCGCAGCAAGACAAGCATTTCGAACTATGATCTCGGATAGGCATAATAATAACATGAAATACCTGGCAAAATCGTCACCGACTTTGTCCTTGGGAACCCCTATTTTTTCCATAATTTGGTCTCTGATTTTCAGAAGTTTACTGCAGTCATCTTCTAAATGCTCTCTGTCGGGATCTCTACCAATTTCGCCTCTAAATCTCAGGAGAACTGTAGTAAAGATAAGTAAAACAGTGTGTATGCAGGTTATTATGAGCAGTGTTAGTCAAGGAAAAATAATGAAATGTTGCAGCAGAGAAGATTTCACTGGCCTCTGTCATGACAGAAGACATTAAATGCCCACAAATTATGGGGGTAAACACTTCAATAAAATCATCATCACCTGTATATTGGCTTGGATAAACATTATTATTATTATTCTTAAAAAAAAACAGCGTACACACTATATACATGTATATCATATATGAAGTAGCAACAGACAATTAGGTTAAATCATTCTTGATGCGATTAAGAGAAACTTATCATGGAACACCATCTTGTATAAATGTTGTTCATGTTATTAATCTGTCCCTCCCATCTAATAGGATGTAGGATAGGATGAGAGATTAGACATATACGCTGAGGCTCAATGCTAATATGATATGCTTTAATTACTTACATTTTGTTGTGCTGAAAATCGATTGTAAAGAACAGTGAAGACGCTAGCTATCCAATTTCAATTTGACTAAATTCTCTTTTCATTAAATAACAAGAATTAGACAATACGAGTATACATGTATTAATTCCAAAACACTTTGAAAGCTGATTAGATCTTATACTGCCTCAAGACAATATCAAGTTACACTTTCCAATGGATTAGCTGGATATTAAATGGACAAAAAACAGCAGTTATTCATTATTTCAGTGCTTTGCCAAACATAGTTTATGAAATGTGCAAGTCCAAATTAATAATGAAATTGAATTTAGAAATCTCCAGGGAGGAATCAACTCACTCTCTCTCTCACTCACTATATACGTGAATACAACAGCATGAATTGATTAGCATCTACCCCTCAAAAAATCTTTAAGAATTCCACTCACTATACATGTACTATAACATAATTTATTATGACATATAGTTGAGCACTTTCAAAAGACAATTTAATAGGTTGGGCCCCCTCTACATGTGCATACTACACACGTACATGTATTCTATAAATTATTTGGGTTTAAGGTAAATGACTTTTAGTATTTGGGAACTCAAGGGAGAGAATGTGCATGTAAGTTCTTTTTCGGCTCAAAGCATATCCAATCTCTTCAGCCATGAAGTGGATGCAAAACTTAGTTTAACATTTCACATGCTCCTCCAATTGATGTAACTTCAACACAGCAGAAGCTCTAGAGGCTGAAAGCAGTGTGTTCAAAGTCATGTAATCGCGCAGCAAACACAGGAGGCTGAAATCAATCTTTTCAATAGTACTTCAATTGCACTTTTGACGATTTGAAGAGATAAGCATGACGTGAACAACAAAATCTGTATGCGTCACAGAATTCAGCCACAGTTTAGTTAAGTGCTGGCCACAGCAAGTTTAACAGATTGATATCATCCCACTTCTGTTCCTTAATTTGATATCCCCCAGAGAAATAGGGCTTCACATGTCTAGTAGGGAAGAAAAAAACATGGTTTACAAAGTAGCGGAACTGTAAATTCCCAATGAGCTGTCTGATTAGTCATTGGTCAACTGTCTCAATTGGGGGTCCAAAATAAACAAACAGATTCTTACATATATTGGAATTTAAGACGAGAACAATACATTATGTGGATAAATTGCATAATCTTCATTTGTACTAGTTTGTATAATTATTTTGGTCGGTATATTTATTGTGTCTGCAAGGTATGGTTTAAAAGGGTTTAAAAGTACACTATACATTTAATCACTACTTTAACAGACTGCGTAGAACTAGTGCTAAGTGGTGCATGTAAATCAAAATCAGTGTTGTATCCTATTGCAATGAATCAGGGTCAACAACATATAGAGTAACAACACGAGTTGAAAGCAGGTAGCCATAATTTTTCTTGTTGATAGAATACAAGGACGATGGTTTCTAAGACATTTGTGGGATGCGCATAGTGAAATTTGGACAGTAAATCTGCTGTAAATCTACACAATATATTATGTTAGCTCTTGCTTCTAAATATGATCCATGAGAATCAATGTTCACTCAAAATTTGACAACGGTACATGTATATAAATTATAAATGAACTTTGACCTTGCATGATGAAATAAACGCTAGATAGCTTTTTTAAAGATTTGTGAAGCTTTTCAGATTTCCAATCAACATTCAGTGCATCCTTCAAACTGCAGAATTTCGTTGACCCTTTCACGGTGAGAGTTTCAGTTTTTTCAACTTTAGTTTTCTTTGTTTCTTCATCATCCTTTTTCATCACCATTGCTTTCTCCCTGTAAATGCCAGTGGAAGATAGAAAAATATAATGAATTTTGAAGAGAAAACAAACAGTC